GCCTTCTTGTACAACTCAAAAACCTGCAGTTACAAACTGTTCCATCTTGTTTAGCAAACAGGCCTGGAAATAAAAGAAACGGTACATCAGTTCAAGAGACAAACAAATCAAATGGGGACACACTAAATTCCAAGGTTGAGTCGGGCAAACAGGGAGAACAAAATCAGCAAATGCTGCTGCGCTTTGCAGGAACACCAGTGTTCATTTTGGGAGCTTTTTTTTGATTCTGAAAACTAATTACATTTTAGTCTAGTTCACATTTAATGGCCATATTGTAGCAGTTCTATCAAAATGGAGCGTATGGTGGCCGAGACGGTTTAATACCGGCTCGTAATACAAGCCGTCATTGGCGGACTATGAGGACGCCGGATGGCCTCTGATTCATGGAGGGAGATCTCCACAAACGAGGGGGACAAAGTCGTGGAAGAAAATACGGGACAAATGTGTCCTTGATGAAAAGCAGCAGTGTGGATGCACGGGGCAATAAAGTCTGTGATCAATAAATAAAGCAACCAACGACTTCCACACACAAAGACGTGACTCTCCAGGTCGTCTTCAACAGAACACGTGACTCCACCTGTTGTTCTGGAGGTGAATCGCTCTGCAACACACGCACGACTTTACAACCAGGAAGTGAAACCAGTGCGTCGACACGTAAAGACGCAGAAACACGCGGCGGCCTTTTGTCACAGGACGATGTGGCAGTGGGGGAACCTTTATAGTGAGGGACTAATGAAGGAATGGGCTGCAGGTGAGAAGAGCATGAGGAGCAGGTGAAGGAACCTTTATAGTGAGGGACTAATGAAGGAATGGGCTGCAGGTGAGAAGAGCATGAGGAGCAGGTGAAGGGAATGAGAGATGCTCTTGTGTTGATGACAGGAGAGTTAAACAAGCAGGCAGGATGAAGACAGAGAGTTTGTGACAGCAATACCTTTGTAGCACAAACAAGCTAAACATGTCCATCCATCCATGGAAGTGTTTCCTGCCAAAGAGGCAAACTGCTGGTGAGTCGGGTTCAAACAGCCTTCTACTGCAAATCAACTCAACCAAATTTGACTTCATCAGGCCGTTTTCTTCTGCAATCATAAGGAAAGTAATAAACGGAAAATGCTTTGCCAATAGAGAACCCACTGAGCGGGTGTCTCAGGTGACACCCCATGAACAGCAGTGCTGCTATGGTCACAAGGGTAATAGTGGGATTCAACAGCAACGTCCTCATTTTATTTATTCCCGGCTGTGATCGATACCAAATTGTCTCACAAGAGCCAGAAATGCCGCCATCGAGCGCCGCCATTACGCGACTCTGTTTCAGGCCACGACATTGATTCATACCTACAGAACATATCATGAGTATGAAGCGGCCTCCACCAGTTTGTTAGCACTGCAGCTGAAATCAGGCGAGGGACTAAAACACAGACAAACACAGGAGGAAAGCTAATGGATCATAAAACGTACGACACAAATCCATGCTAGTTGGTCCAAAAGTAAATCCTTTGACCAAAACCTGAAAAAGAGACAGACTAAGTGTTCTGTTGTCATGACAACTGGCAGTAAGCAAACAAACTGCAGTGACAGTGACGACGTTCACACACACACACACACAGCTGACTTTCCTGGTTTTACGCCTCGTGTTGTAATGTGCAGTTGCATACAGATGTGTTATTGTCACTGTACAGTCTGTTGGGGGTTCGGATTTTATATTTTTATTGCTTTATCAGTTTGTGATGATTTAATTAAATAGACATTGTCAGGGTGGGTGGAAAGGAAGGCAGGACTCAAGCGCAGACTTCTTAAACAAAAGAGACTTTAATCGTCCAAAAGGCAGAAGGCCAACAGGCAAAAACGCACAGGAACCAGGGGAAAAACGTCAGACAGGAACTACAAACATCCACGGCGATAGACAATGACGCGACAAGGGACAGGAGACACACACGGCTTAAATACACTGGGGAGGTGCAGGTGATTGGACACAGGTGGAAACAATCAGACAATCACAGGGGATGACAGGACAAGGCAGGAAGTGAAGTTACCCGGGGAGACAAGAAGCAGAAAACTACAAAATAAGAAAGGAAATAAAACCACACGTGACAGATATTTCTTTCAGAATATACAAAATAGGCATAATCATAATCCGAACTAAACTATTGGAGGTAAAAGGTCACCATGAGGCATTTATTTCAGTGAGTAGGCGATTTAGGTCGTGATATCCAACTTGGTTGTCATTGGATTTAAGCAGCCCCTAAATGTCTAATTAGCCCAGTTCATGACCTAATCAGCAAATACAAAACGCATTAACTTTGCTTCATTTAACATCTCTGACTGAAATAAAAAATACTTTTTGTCATGATTTCTCAAACGGTCTCCAGATCCTGACGGTATTTCATGAGGCAGAACATCATCTGAGAACAAACCGGTTCCTCTACCTCCATGTAGCTTTTAATGCACCACGCAGAGGACAAACGACCAATCAGAGGCATGATAGTGAACTAAACCAAGCAGCATTGATATGAATAAAGATTCTCTCCATGTTTTTATTCCATTGTTTAACTATTATTATTACTCATGATTTGTCCACCTCGCTGGATCATCTTTGTGGTTTCATTTGATCAGGCGTGTGGTTGATTTCTGTTTGACGATAGAAAAGATAATAATTATTTAATAATCTATTTGTTGCCTCGAGTTCCCTTTGCCGTGTGCATGCAGAGTTTTTTAAGGTAAACTGGTAACACGTCTCTATTTAGTTTTCATATTTACCTGATTTACCAAAAGTACTACAAACATTTTAGGTAAACTTTGTTCTAAAGTTACATGAAAAAGCTTCAGTAAAATAAGTGACGTTTCAACACTGGTCTGTTTGACAAAATACGCATCTTTGAGTTATGTATGAAAACAGGTTATGAAATATTGGTTGATTTGGTCATATGTAAGAGTGTGTGTGTGTGTGTGTGAGGGGAAAACACACACACACACAAAGAAAGAGAGTTTGGTTTCTGTCCATCAATCACGAAAACCACGAGCAGTACATTAACTAGCCATTAGGAATCAATGGTTCACCCATAATGCATTCTGGTCATAGGTACATTAAGAAGTCATGACATTAACATCTGATTGATGTCATCGACCGCGGGGGGACCAGACCCTTTTAGCCCAAAAGCACAGGAGGATAAAGATGGGCGCATCACAAACACAGCACCAGGAACAGACGTAGCTTAGCATCAGACACACATGACATCAAGTCTCTTCGCCTTTCTTTTCAGGAGAAGTTGGCAAACAATGAAGGATAAAGACAGAGATTATGACCATGTGTTATTTTGTATGAAAGTCAATTACTGTGAATTATTTTCTTTGTTAAACTGAATCCGATGCTGAAGAATTCACAGCAGGGGCCTTTGTCTCCAAATGCTTATTGATCGCTATCAGGGAATCATTCTGGGTTTAAAATAACACAGGCGCCGTGGTATCGCACCTCTAAATCAACCCTGTTCAATTGTCTCTGAAACAAATTCATTAAATGAACATCATAGCGGAGAAGACTAGAAAGCCGAGGCCGTAATCTCAGGTTTGCACTGTTTACTGAGGAGAGAAAGTGAAAAGTAGAGTCATTTTCTAACAGGTTACAATCAGACGTCTTCATGCAAACAGAGGGGACGAGGTTCTAAGGTCAGGACCCGTCTGCATCGGCCCAACTCTTCAGAAATGGATCTTGTTGTTTGCAGAGTTTTCATTCGTTGTCATCGCACATGAAATGAATCCAGCGGCTGCAGCTGATTAGAAAACATTATTCGTGTAGTTATGGATTCATTTTGTGAGCGGACGTTGCAAGATTTAGATAAAACTGTCATAATCTTAGAAAATGTTGTGTGATAGCAAAAAAAAATGCAAATCGAGAAATGAACCTGCATGTTCATTTGTGATACTGACACAATAAAAGAGCTTTTATTGTAGATAAACACAGAATTGGTCTTTGATTTGAGATTCTACGCCCAGCGGAGGGTGTTTGTGTGTGTGAACATCAAACTGTTTGCTGAGCCTACAGGTGTTCTTCATCCTGCACGGGTTCCCCCAGGGAAGGTTTATGGCTTTATTCTCATTTTAAGCGGAACTGTTTAAAAAGCAGCAGCATCCAGAGTAGAAAATACCTGAAGGCGGACCAGGGGGGGGGGGGTAGTGCACCCTGTGACAGCAGGCCTCTGCACGCTTTGTCTGCGGTTTCACCTCTTTGGATTGTCTCCATTGTCCTTTCCCCACAGCCTTTCCTCTCCCAGGAATCAGGAAACATTCATACGTCACACGTCCACGGACTTGGACACGGCGGTTGGTGCCTGACAGCAGACAGTAAGACAACATGCAAGAATGATGCAATATAAGACTGTGGGCCATAGAATGAACACGTGCACCAGCAAACAGAACCACAGACTGGTTCAGTCGTGTAGAGTATGTGACAGTGGTGTGTGTGTGTGTGTGTGTGCGTGTGGACTGTGGAGGGAATACAGATGTTGTAGGAATGATTTCTCTAGTTCATCACTCGTCCTGATGCTTCACTGTTTATTCCACGTGTTGGATAGAAGCCCACCTGAAGCGGACCACCTTCATGGTCTATTTGACTCTGAGGCGACCGTCATTCACCAAATGAACACAACGCTGAACTGATGAAGACCTCAAACTACTAATGGAGACCATGAACCTCACAGTCTTTACTGACGAGTCATTTTTGATGGACGTGAGAGGAAATACACTTTTCAGAACGAGAGGTTGCTAAAGGTTAATCCCATTCTACCTGGAACAAGGTGACGTGAACACTTATTCCGGAAGGGAACTGAGCTGCTCGCTTCCTCAGTCTGAGGGAGGCTGCGGTTCCCCGTCGGTCCAGCAGGTGGGACCTGAGGCCGGAGGACGGAGTCCGCGCTCTCTCTCCACCAGCAGCAGGGACCGTGAGAGATGGAGAGGATGACATGAAGTGATGCAGAGGCAGAGGAGGGAGACCACCGGAGACCACCGGAGACCCTCCTTGTCACGGATCGGGAATATTTCCGTGATTTCTGGCTGCTTTTCTTCCTCCAGCGTCGTTGGGATCCGTGACATGCAAACGCGCGCGCACACTTACGCACATGTGGACACGCGTGGACGCGCGGGGAGGGACGTGCTTTTTTCCCCTTGATTCACTCCACTGAGACGAGAGACGAGCGGCGGACTATGACGCCGACGCGTTGACGCGTCTGTCCTCTGTCAGAGACCCGGACCCGCGGAGCATGGAGACGCCCGGGGGCTGCTGGACGCTCGTCCTTCTGCTCGGCGTCCTCTCCGGCGGCTACCTGAGCTCCGTGCCGGACTGCCCGCCCACCTGCGCCTGCTCGCCCACCGACATCTACTGCAACCAGTCGGACAGCAGCAGGTTCTTCCCGCTGCTGTCCTTCCAGGGCCCCTCGGGCCCCGCGAACAGCAGCATCGAGGACCTCTTCCAGAACATCTCCTCCATGTAAGAGCCGACCGGCGGGGGGGGCTTCGTGGGGGTCTTTGCGGCGCGCGATGCGCTTTCTCTCGTGTCAGGTCTTGTTTTCATAACGCAGTGAAAACCGCCCAGTTTGGTTTGGTTTGGTTTGGGGTTGGGGTTGGTGCTGGGTTGGTGTTGGTTTGGGGTTGGGGTTGGTGCTGGTTTGGTGTTGGTGTTGGTGTTGGGGCTGGGGTTGGGGTTGGTGTTGGTGCTGGTTTGGTGTTGGTGTTGGTGCTGGTGTTGGTGTTGGTGCTGGTGCTGGTGTTGGTGCTGGTGTTGGTGCTGGTGCTGGTTTGGTGCTGGTGCTGGTGCTGGTGTTGGTGCTGGTGTTGGGGTTGGGGTTGGGGTTGGTGCTGGTGTTGGTGCTGGTGTTGGGGTTGGTGCTGGGGTTGGGGTTGGGGTTGGTGCTGGTGTTGGGGTTGGTGCTGGGATTGGGGTTGGGGTTGGGGTTGGTGCTGGTGTTGGTGCTGGTGTTGGGGTTGGTGCTGGGGTTGGGGTTGGGGTTGGTGCTGGTGTTGGTGCTGGTGTTGGTGCTGGTGTTGGGGTTGGGGTTGGGGTTGGTGCTGGTGTTGGTGCTGGTGTTGGGGTTGGTGCTGGGGTTGGGGTTGGTGCTGGTGTTGGGGTTGGTGCTGGGATTGGGGTTGGGGTTGGTGCTGGTGTTGGTGCTGGTGCTGGTGCTGGTTTGGTGCTGGTGCTGGTGTTGGTGCTGGTGTTGGGGTTGGTGGTTGCTGGTGGTTGTTCGTAGTGTGATTTTCTGTGCTGCAGTTGGTCTTGTTAGATTATCACAACATTCAACTTCATTAAATCAGCAATAAAACATCTCAGCCAGAATAATATTATATTGATATTGACATGAGATTAAATTGGGACAACTTCAGCCTGAAAGCATTCACCAATAGTCAACGTTGTAAAAGTGTCTTTCTAAACTTTTTGTAATCCATACAAACAAACATACATGTAGTAATCATGTCGTTTCCAACCTGTTACTCTTATTAGAAAGAGTCTTTAAGTAAAACAGAAACCGGAAGAAATTGTAAAATCTCAGCCAATGTGGACGCCACGGAGGAGCCTAAATTGAATGTATTAAAAACACGCTCAACCCGTTTCAAATGTTTTTTAAAGGCTGTAGTTTCTTCTCTCCGGGTCTAAACGTACACATCAACCCTGGATACGATAGTGTGAACTGGTGAAGCGCTGCTGCTCTCACCCTGATTATTAATATCCCAATAAGAGCAAACAGAAGCAGCATGCGGCGGTTTGCTCTGTCGCTTTTCAACCTTTCATCCATTTACGGACGACGCGATGAAGCAATTCTGTGACCTTGTCGAAGAGGAACTTCCAATGAGAGTATCCTTTCCCATAAACCTTAAGCCGATTAGGCCTTTAGTGCCGGTCATGTATTGGTCAGTAAGACCTGCCACTCGCCATCAATTTGTGCCAAACTAATTTCAAAGCACCTACAACAAATCCATGTCCCATTAGAGGTGATGAATTCTTCTGAAAACAGCAGCCGAAGGGGTTTTTACATCCCCGCTGGATGTCCTTCCGTGACCAAAAATCACCCAACTGTGATTCCCAACTAGTTGATATTTGAAAAGCCTAAAGCAAGTTCTTTGTATTTTCTTTTCATTGGAGGAGCTGGCAGGAGATTGAATAGAACAAAAAGCATTTGCTGATTCGATACGCGTTCCCTTCACTCGCTGCAGCGTCTACCTAAACACATTCTGTGTTATATCCTTTGATGCCAGAGAACAGCGTGGCCCCAGAGATCAGAAGCCCATCGTATATCTTTTACATTGGATGATAAAGCAGTCATGACTCAAACTGTAATGACTGTAACTGTAACTGTAACTGTAATGTAATGTAATGTAATGTAATGTCATGACTCAAACTCTTCAGCCTAAATATCAATTTTCCATCAAATCCTGATACGTTCCACTACCAGTAGTATTCATTCACCAATAAACGCATTTTCATAAGCCTCCAAATCAAGGAGCTGCACAAATGTAACATAGTCAGATATTTGAACTTAAACCAATTCAATCACTCAATGCAACGTTAACCAAAACATTAGTGTAGATAGTTAGTCGACCGCGGTGTGTACGAGTCTCGAGCCCCGTCCCCGATTCTCATCATCTGCAGGACTAGAAAAATAACTATGGTCACATTTTCAGAACTTTGGCATGGACTTGGTACCAAAGCATGAATGGCCCGAGACAAATGATGGGATTCTTTGGTTCATCTTTCACGTGTAGGTCGCTGGAGTCCATCTCACAGGACACTTTGTGTGTGTCCTTCTGCGGATGTTCCTCATCATCACGCGCCACCCGCCTGGAAACACATTCACAAACGTTGTGTCGCAGCTGAATTTATTAAGCCGCACTGAATAATTCATTTGCAGTACGTCCATTGTTTGCATTCGTATCGGACGTTTCCGACAGTCGGCTCAGTTATAAAAACCGTTAACCACAAAGTAGAAAAACAACAGGATCCCTCAAATAGTGCAAAACAATCCGATTCTAGTCCATGTTTGGGCTCAATACATTCCCGAACAATAAAACCTGACTAGTTACACCTCCTTCATAATAGTAATTATGTTTTTCCCTCCTCAGTGTTTCCCATACCATCTATTTTTATATATATAAATAGATTAAAAAAAAATATATATACATATATATATTTTTTTTTAATCTATTTTTATATATATATATTTTAATCTATTTATATATATATATATATAATATATATATATATATATATAATATAATATATATAATTTTTTTTTTTTTAATTGACTACCCCTAGGTCATTAGCCGACGCTCATCTTCCTTTGGTCCACAGACAAAAGTAATACACAGAAAACCTTTAGAACAGGACATGAAACAAACTGTTGAAAATAGTACAAACTGAATAAAAGAGCAACCTAGTGCAGTCGAGGAATAAGATGTATATTGTTAAAGAAGAATCCGATGTACAAAAGCAAACGTCAGGTAGTTATTGGCCATAGTTGACTGCTGTACTTGTACTATTAACATATCTGTGATGGTTTGTCCAAAAGCTTGACAGCGAACCGACGTGTCCAGAGCCTGGACGCTGTGATCTGAGTAACGAAGCTGCTACGTTTGTTGTGACGTGGATCATTGCAGATGTTTTGTTACACCTCAGCACTCGAGGTCTCTCAGCGTCTTTCACAACGTTGGCATCGCTGCAAAAGACTTATTATATCGACGTGTTACTTGTGTCATACGTGCATGCGAATGGCATTTCACCGTCAGAACCAATCCTTCAATCAGAACCACGGCACTGCAAACAGATCAGCAGATGGATGCGTTCAGCAGGAGGCAGCGCGCGATGATAAATCCTCCTGGATTTCTTGGCAAACACCACCCGATGTAGCCGGTTGAGGCAGAGACGATCGAGGTCAGGCATCGACCTCAAGAATGTAGCTCGTGATGGTCCATTCTCCGGGCATCTGATCCTAGCGCCTGAACGCAGCACAGGGAGGGTCTCTAAAGTAAATGGCGGCGTGCAGGTTGTATCCCGGGCTTATTAGTTAGCTCACCAGAACGTACGCCGACAACTGAGGTGGAGATCCACGGGGTGAAGATCTCCGGCTCAGGAAAACAACGTCAACGGGCCGTGAAGGTGTCACAATGAAGCTCTGTGCACGGATGTACTTGTGTGTATCTTCTGCTCACTCAGTGACTCACAGGTGAGGAGACACGGGGGGAATCGTCACAGCAGAGAAGATCCTGCACTGCTTCTAATGAGGAGCCTTTTATTCACACATTTAAGCCAATTTAATACAAAACATTGACATAACTGCTTAAGCATCAACCAAAAGAGACATTAGCAGTTATTGATTTGTAATCATCTCACTACAGCGTCGAAGGAGCCCTGAAACTCGCTTCCTTCTCATCAGACACGTGTTTATAGAACATTATATTATTTCACTCTGCAGGTAGCTGGTAGTACACAAACTAAAGATCTGATGAATTGAGGATATCAATGAGGATTCTGCTGTTTTAAACAGCAGCAAGTACATGGACACAACATGTTGATGAATGAACTGAAAACAGGACAAATTGTCTGTTATCTTCATATCGCAATACGACCCCAAAAAATATTGTTCCGTTGTTGATGAACAGTGAGAAGCAGGACGGATTTGAGCCTTTGTCACTGCTCGCTTCCCAAACGCGTCACCGTGCATCAGGGCCTCAAAGCAAATAGAGAAGTAAAAACAACGAAGATCAGCCATTGTTATATTTCCAACAGAAAAAAGGAGTTAAAGAGATCTGTGAGGTGATAGACGCTGATTATTTTGGGAGAACAAAACCTCGTTGTATTATTAATCGGTTTTGGTCCAGCAGCAGAGATTCCTTCGTCCACCCACCGCTGCGTGTAGGAGAGAACACGGGGGCCGCTTCTTTCACGCCGAGCGCTGCTTCTTTCACGCCAGTCACGGGGGAAATTTGGCCGGACAATCGGAGAAGCAGAGAAAAGGAGAGGCGACTGGCGGCGATAAGGCTGCTTTTGTTTCTCAGCTAATGTCCGCGGGAAAAGAGACGCTCGACGTGAAAAGTAAAAGACTGAAGGAGAGAGGAAGAGCTTGAGGTGGGTGACGGAGAGAGAGGATGTTGCCACATCCGAGAGGAGAGGACATGAAGTGGAAGTTTCGCTCCCCTTTCTTCTAGAAAAGACGGTTTCTTTCGCGCCTCCAAATTGGACGTTTGCACGTTGCAAATCTCAGTTACGTTAAATACTCGTCGCTAACTGGACGTCTGCAGAGACGCTTCCCGCTCGACCTTCTCGTGGTGTCACGCAGGATTTCTTGACTTTGTCCACGTGCTAAGACTTGTCTCTGGGGTATTATTTGGCGGACGGGATCTCAAATCAATGCAGAGTACGTTTGACCTCGTTGTTCACTGCAACCACCAAAGGTCAACAATGAAAACTACTCACACAGCTGTTGCGTTTCACAGATA